AGACTACCCAAGACTGATCATCGGGCCATGTGCTCATACACAATGCCCGTTTCAATGATGCCGTTTCCGCCTTTGAAAAATAAAGAACAATCTATTATATTACATTTAAAAAATGTTCAGTCATTTACAGTAGGGAAGCTTATCGACATGGTAGAAATAATGTTATTCTGAATGTTATGTGGAATCCCGACGTGATTCGTTAATGTGAACCTCATTGTATGCAACTTATGAAACACTGTACAATAATGCAACGTGCACTAACGTCACTCGACTCGTTAAGGTCCATTGAGGCCAGCTCACAGAAGACCATACAGGTAGGGCGCCAGTTATCGGGCGGGTCACATAAGTTCCTGCCCTTCACAGAACATCACTTCAAGTATGACTTATACAGCGTCGTGCTCCTACACGTTTCTTTCTCCTGCTCGAGAAGGAACAACAAGTCCCTAAAGTTCACCCTCTTCAAACGTGGTCTCATCGGCATTTGTCTGTTGATCCCGGTCGTCGACGCGTTCAAACCGGAGTTACTACCTGGACTACTGACAGACCCTCCCACATCTAGTTTAGGCTTTTTACGTGGTCCGATCGCCTGCAACGCCGTCAAGTTCGCTTCTCTTTGCCTCAGCTCTTCCATTTCAGCTCGTTGCATCTAAATCATTGCCATTGGAATTATCATTATTCTCATCACACGTGTCCTTTATTAAAAATATTTAAAAGTACCTCCTTAGCCTTCGCCTTGAGTTTCGCCTGTTCTGGATCCTCAGTTTTCGCGCGACTCTTCGCCGCGCGTAAGAGTAACTCTCTTTCTTGTTCCTCGTGTCTCCTACGTTCCACTTTATCCAAGTCTTCTAGAAATTTTAACTGTGCCCGAACATCCTGTGTCACTTCGTAACGCGGATCCACCTGTAACCATTACGTGTTCTTGATTGTCTAAATATCGAATATGTGTATTCAGTTAAAAAGCACCTTCAGCAATTGCAAGACAGTCTCTCTTAATTTTACTTATTGCAATCGTTAAACTTCACCTTTATCAAATCTATCCTGTGCTCGGCGATCACTGCTAACTTCTCTACTAAATTTTTTAATCTTTCTTGCGCGGCGTGAGATATTAACGCTGCAACTTCCTGATTTGGTTCTTCTAATCCATACGTAGAAACTATAAAATAAATACATGTTAACATATGTCATCTTCAGTTCAATACTTACATCAAAACATGAATAATTACCAATTTGTTTAATCTTCTGTTGTAACGGTGTCATATGTAAGAACACTTCGTCTTTACAGGATCTGATCTGTGTGCCAACGAATTCTGTCGAGCCGAGAATCCTTTGCGATTCCTCGGCAAGATTAACACCACCCATAGCCGCGACATCGTTGATATCATCATCTCCCCTATTCAAAAATGTACGTATACATAAAATGGCGACAGTTCATGTATTCAGACGTAGTCTAAATATGTTGAAAATGATAACGTACGTGTATCCGGCGGATGAAAATGTTTTTTTCTCTTTCTCTTTAGTAACTGGCTTTGGAACGAAAGAAGGCACAACGGCTTTATTAACAGTAGTGGCTGTGTTAACTGTCTTGCCTTGCGTTGTAGCTGTAATTGTTTTAACAACAGTCGTTATAATAGGTGGTTTTTGAATTGTGGGAACTGTTGGTCTGATTCCAGTCACAGCGACCGTTGACTTCACGGTGTACGCTGTAGTAGGACTACGAACTACTGTTGTAACAGGTCGTATCTAAACAAAAAGAAAATAATTGTTCCTGATTTTGGCCAATTTGATATTCATTAATATAATCTAAACAACCGAGTAGTGATTGCGCGTACAACTAGCGATATTCCATAAATTTTTTATATGAACATTATAAATACAGCATTTCTTAATATTTTCCAAAAGACTATGGATTGTATGTATATCTCTCATATGAATAAAATTAAATCTTCTTTTATCTTACCAGCCTTTGTTGAACTGGCTGAGCGGGTCGGGGAATTGTAGTTGTAGCTGTAGGTAATGGAGTCATTACTCTAACTTGGGTAGTCGCACTAACAGCAGTTACGGGAACTGTTGCAGCTGCCACAGCAACAGTTGGTCTAAGCTGATTCTGCTACATGGTATTATAAAAGGAACATTAATACTAAAAATAATGATATATCTAGAATATGAAGAGATATAAATAGAAAATATTTCGAATTCTACTATAACTGCCTCTAATAATAAAGTCGCTATTACACGAATTCGCCTACCAATATGTATCGACTAATGTACATATTACCAAAATTATGCTTAGGACTATAGATAAAAATAAATCTACACGTTTTACCTGTGGTACTACGGGAGTAGCAGATGTTATAGGAAAGACAACATTAGCTGGAGGAGGTTTTATCCCCTCTATGACCAGTTCTTTGGTCACGAGGGATTGCCGTAAAAGTGGCAAACTTTTCTTGAGAAATCCAATCAGGCATGGTTGAGGTGATGCATTCAATAATCTTTCAAGTCTATCACAGAACTCCTCGGGTTCAACTTTAGTATCAATTAGTTCTTGTATCAAAGTTCGAACATTTCTCTCCACCGCTTTAGGTTCTCGACTAGACAACTCTAATAAGTTTGCTAAAAATTTACGGCACTTTTCTTTGGTATTATCTGTAGTTTGACGCTAAAAATAAAAAGAAATATGTAAAATTTGCAAATTTTTAAATACTTTTTAATTATATTAACTAGGTGTGATACATACTGGTGTAGGTGTTTGAACCGTTTGAACAGTAGTAACAGGTAAGGTAGGCGTAGTTGTGGCAGCGGCAGTCACCGTCGCAGGTGTCGTAGTTGCTGTTGTAACAGTTGCAGCCACAGTCTATATGTAAATACGAATTATGAGCCATTAGTAAAATCTCTATTTACACAAATTTTACATTTAGTTCATAATTTTGTTCTATAAGAATAACGAAACTGTGGTCCAAAAGTAGAAGCATTTTGCAACACTGCCAAACAAAATATAAATAGCAAATTTTAATACATGAATGATAATTTTGTTCGTGACACAATTTTGTCCTCAAGCAAAATTTCCAATTTTTTTAACTGATTACTTCCCAATATTGATGATTACATCTCTAGACATTCTGAAGCTCAGTATTAATAAAAGGATTTATGATAATGTATTTCCCACATGCATTCTGTAACATCTATGAAAATTTTCATATCGCATTTTCTTCTTTCTACTCATCTACAACAATCTACTTATCTTTGTAAATGCATGCTGAACTTCAGATTTTTCAAATGAAAAGTTTACATGTTTGATACCTTTTTATCTGTATTTATAATTATATTGACTTACAGATTTATGACATAGCTACATAATTGACGAGTATATTTATATATTAAAGACGCACTTGTACCTTGTACAGACTCTCTTTATTATAATAATATTCCTTACTTGTTGTTTAACGAAGAAATCG